AAATGATTCTGTTCTCATGCACTATTTTCCCCTCTCCTACTGTTTCCTTAAGTCTTTGGCAATTGTAGTCTGTTCTTCATTTCTGTGTGATCAGTTTTGCTAGATTCTCCCAACATAGAAACCATTCAGTCATTGGCATTGCATTCTTGATGTATTCACTTAGTCAGTACTTTTCCCAAGGTCTATTCTTGTCACCAACAAGATCACATCAATTGCAAGACTACATGGTTTTCATGACAGAGTAGCAGTCATTCTCTATGTTTATATTACTTTATTCTTTCCTTTGTTCATGGACATGTACATTTATTCCAAAGACTGAGTGCTTACTATGCTTAATATTGTGGTAAACAGGGACACACTTATTTTTATACCTTTTTCTTGAGATATATAATTAATATTTACATTGATGAGTTCTATGATATTTTATGCTTTGATTAATGAGAAAACTGTATTCTACTACATTTTGCAACATTACAAAACTATGCATCTCTCTCGGAAGCAACCCATGACTGTTGTTTCTGTTACCATAAGCAGTTGTGGTGGGGTGATGCGGTTTCCTTATGTGCTTTGCTTTGTAAGCGGTAATGTTTTTCACTCCAGTGTCCAAGGACTTTTGTAGCTTAGACACTGGAGCTTGTCCAAGGCCTCCCATTATAAATTCATCTAGTTTCCCTGGTATTTGGAGCTACAGGAACATTTCAATGTGCCATCCTCTTTATTGTGGCACAGAGATAACTAGTTAACTGATATTGAACATTTTTCACATTTTCTGGCATATTTATTTATGTGTTATATTCCTTGGAGAAATCTTTATTCAAAGGCCTAGCCCCTTTTTCCTCCCCGTATATGTATATTCACATGATAATTTATGTGACTGTGCACGTAGAAGACACACATTGATGCTGGGTTTCTTTCTCAATCATTCACCACATTGATTTTGAGACATTGTTTCTCATTGAATCTAGTTAATTCAACTGGACTTGCTGGCCCTGCTCCCCAAGCATCCTATGTCCTCTGCTTCACCAGCATTGGCATTTAATGCACCTACAATGCTGTGTCTGGCTTTTTACAGGGTACCAGAGATCTCATTTGGGTCCTCATGTTTGCCAAGCAAAGGCTTCACTGACCCTGATGTTCACTCAGCTATTTAGCACATTTTAAAATAGGCTATTTCAGATTTTATCGTTCAGATGTTTGTCACACATTCTAGATAAGAAACTTATTGTCATGGGTGCATTTTATAAATAATCCATGCATTTGATATTATTCCTTTTATACTCATCATTTCATTCTCTGCATGCAACTTTTTATTTGACAATTATGTATGACCTCACATTTTAACAGAGCCTCATGCCTGGATCACTGAGAAATATCAGTAAAACCTCTAAGAAAGAACAAAAAGAAAACAACTGTTAGCATGGTGGATGGCTTTGTGATCAATGAGTGACCCATGTTGAAGCTGCAAGACAACTAATGAGATATATTTTTGCTGGATAATTACAAAATTACAGGAAAAAGAATTGTCTAGTGTTGTAAGCAGTGATTAATATTTACTATTGATATATCTTCTGGTAAAGCTTGCTGTTAAGCCTAACAGCTGTATAACCAAATCACCACACAAAGACTGGGTTTATTTAGTTAACCTAGAATACAATGCTGGGCAATAATTACTCCCTCCTACACCTCCAAGCCCTCATAGTTTCCTAACATTTAGATTTCCCACATTATACTTGCTTTTAGTGATATCTTAGGTCCAGTCCATCTCTCCACATAGTTCCAAGATTTCTCCTCCAGCTCTCTCTTCAAGCTCTCCTTTCCCTCTTTCCTCCCACTCATTTCCTGCCCTCTAGCTCCTTCCCTCTTTCCTGTCCTCTGGCTCCTCCCATTACACAACATTGTAGCTAGTTGCTTTATTTTGGCCTGTTCACACAGAGTTGAGACAGGATGCTTAGAATAAGTATCACAATGCAATATCCGGATTGAAACCAGAGAGTGGGGGGAAGGAGAAATCAGCATTTGAATGAACAAGGGTAAGGAGTATAAATTTCAAAAGAACATTATACCAACAGTCTTAGTGATAACATAGACATAGTTCTGATACACCATTCTTGGGAAGATATAAACTAATATCTAATCACTCATGATAGGGAATAGGTGACAAACAATACTGTTGATACCCGATTTAACAAACCAGTGGGTTTACTGTAATTAGTTATTGTAGCAGGGGAACCCTCATTTGTGCAAAAATTTTATTCAGTTTCACAGATCAGAGTGTTTCTTTCAGGAATCTGGGATGATATTGGTCTCTCCTAGACACCTTGAATTGTCTGAACCTCTTATAGGAAGCTCATCTTCACTGAGTCTCCTCAAGGGTCTTTACTGCTTTCATAATCTTGGGAAGAAAGAGGTTGGTTGTGAGGACTCCCAATGCTTCTATGTTGTTTACTTTCTGAGTATTAAGGAGCATTTCTTTAAGATTTCCTGATCTCTGGATGATGAGATGTTTCACTTCCCTTTGAAACATCCAAAGTCATATTGAGTGTACCTCCAAGATGGAATTTTTAACCCTGAGAAAATTGTTACTCACCAGAGACTCCTATTGGAAAATTTGTCATAAATGGGCATGGGATAAAACTGTATTTACACCACAATCAGAAATTCCTTGAGATGATTTTTTCTTCATTTAGGGAAAAACGTGTCTTATGACTTTAGAGTGGAGTATAATTGCACCATCACATGGATTTGTCTATGAACAGCATTAGATTAGGTGTTACATACATTCTGAAAACTTTCATTTCACCAAAGCGCCATTGTAATTTTGATCATCGAAGGATTTAAAACCTTTAAACAGTGGTAAAATGTAGCAGGAGGTACCATCCAAATATCACTAAATAAAAAGGTGGGGTTTTTTTGAGGACTTAGATATTATAGCTATTATTTTTATAAGCAACTTTAAAATTACATAAAATTATTTTTGAGTTACATTTATATTATTTCCGAAAGATATAAAAAAATACGAGAACAAAGGATTTAGGAAACCTGATGATAAGAATAAGAAATTATGTCTTGACATGAATATAGAAACATGGTACATGCCAATTCTAGTGCCCAGGCCATATACATGTGTGAGCAGGACCACAAGAAATATATCATAAAACAAATTGAAGAAAAGCAAGCCCGCACATTTTATAAGTGTCAGAAATATTTAATGAATGTCAATCTCTTAGAAGAAACTGTAATCTCTAACAAAAAAATTCTTGTAATGTAAGATTATCAGGGGATATACTTGTGGACAGGGAAATGAATTTGTCAATTCAGATCAATTAAGCTCTAGAAGACAGTAATTTAGCCACAAATATACAGCTATTACCTAAAACATAAAGATTTGAAAGGCACTCTTTTAACAAAATTATTTACAGTGAAACAAACTTTTGCCCACATTTCATCAAACTTTTAAAGACTGGATCTTTTTAGTTGCCACTGCCCATGACATAATTCATCAAAAAAGTACATAATAGTTGCTAAACCACAAAAAGATGAATTGGAATAATATCAGAAATACAATTAATAAATAGCCAAAATGGAGAATTTGTTCACTAAGCTTTGTCTGGATTTAAGGAAGTAAACAGTTGCAAAAAGTTGTACAGGCATACACAAAGATTCGATACCCACTCTAAAAATATCTAGAATATTATTTTGAAAAGAAATGTACTGATCACATTAATCCAATCTCTCTTCTCAACAAAATTACTTATAATTGTAATTGTATTTGCACCCACATAAATAATCTGAGATAAATTCTTTGCTATAAACAAATATCTTTGTCCTAAGTGGCATTTACAGTGCTGTCACGTAAGATAAAATCCACAAGTTAGGGGATTAAAATATGGGCTTGTCAATTTGATGTCTATCACTCAAGCAATGGCAGGATATTTTTTTGTTGTTGTTGTTTCTTACTTCATTGAAAAATTTGTTGTAATGGACTGAGGGAAGATTTCGTATGACTTTACTGAGAAAATGTGAAAACAGTTCTATTTACTCAAGCAGGTTACTAATAAAAGTCACAAAATACCTTCACACTTGTGTAACTTGCTGAACCAAAAAAATCATAAAAGAACATGAGTGAGTCAATAAGAGCTTCAAGACCAGGAGGCCTGCATCACTATGAGAGATGTCTTACAAGTGCTGCATCCTAGAATCTCTCTGTTCAATTTAACTTCAATAAGAATGAATCCTCCCCCCAGAAACTTTGCTGCAAGTATAATACTTTGGAGGACTCTTTTGAATGTTGTCATTTTAGAGTTTTCTCAGACTCTTAAGTGTTGTCAACTACCTGAATAATAGGGATTCTGTATTTTCACTATAATAGCTACAAAACAGGAGGACACTCAGGGTGTTACCTCAGATAGCCTCTAAATATGGGATATCTTCAATGTCTAAAACGAGCTAGAGACTGAGCAAAACATAAAGGGTGAACTGAATATCTCAAATATGAACTGATGATTATCTATATCTGGAGGTATATGCCCACAGTTTCTGAAATTTTGTAATAAACGACATTTTCTTCTCATACTAGAATGAGATATTTTTTTCTTTGAAAGCAAATAGCATTCTTATAACGGAAATGTTCTTGTTATATATCTTAAGACACTAATATAATAAAATTGTGTGGATTTTGAGTTTTAAAAGTAATGAAACCAAGTAGGGAGGAACCTATAATGCCTCACAAAGATATATACCTTGTAGAGTTTTGGTAATTACTTAATGGATTATAATATTATTAATCTGAACCAAAGTAGGTGTACTTATAGGATACAATTCATTCTGGCCCAAACAATAAAGTCAGCTGACTCTAAATTTATGTCTGACACCAAACCTGCTTAAACCTCTTCTTTAATATCCAATAGCTATACGTATCTTCCTTTAAGACAGGGTATATACATTTTCACTGAATTGTAACTGCTACCACAGGTTCTTCCTCAGTGCTTTAGAACACAAAACTATGCAAAGCAAATGATCCCAATAATGAGCTCCCTCAAGGATCCCTTGATTTCTTTGCTCCTCAAACTGTAGATAAAAGGATTTAGCATTTGAGGGACCACACTGTACATCATGGATGTTATTACATTGCAAACAGAAGAGCTAGAAATTGTAGAACTCATGTATGCACTTAAACCAGTCCCATAGAATAAAGATACCACTGAAAGATGAGACCCACAGGTGGAAAAAGCTTTATGTCTTCCACCAGCTGATGAGATCTTCAGAACAGCAGACACAATTTGAATGTAAGAGAAAATAATTCCAGAGAGGGGGATAACAGAAAATACAGTGGTTGCAATATAAATAAAAAGAACATTGATAAATGTATCAGAGCAAGCAAGCTTGGTGACCTGCCCAAGTTCACAGAAGAAGTTGGGGATATCCTGCCTTGTGCAGAAGGACAGTGGCAGTATCAGAAGAGTGTGGAGTAGTGCATTTATAGTGGTGGCGAGCAGAGAAAGAAATACTAGGAAGAGGCAAAAGAAAGGGTTCATAATGATTGTGTATCTCAGAGGCTGACAAATTGCCACATAGCGGTCATAAGCCATCACAGCGAGGAGGCAGCTTTCAAAAACACAAAATATCAAGATAAAACACACCTGGGACAGGCAGCCTATGTAAGAGATGTTCTGGTCTTGTACTTGGATGTTCAACAGCAGCTTTGGTATTGTCGTCGTGCTTGTACAGATATCAGTAAAAGAGAGATTGCATAGAAAGAAGTACATGGGGGTGTGGAGGCGGGAATCTCTGCTTACAGCCAGTACAATGAGTAGATTTCCAATGATGGTGATAAGGTACATGGACAGAAACAAGTTGAAGATGAAGGGTTGCAGTTCAGTTAGTCCCATGAGAAAGAATTCTGAAATACCTGTTTGGTTTACAGCTTCCATATATTTGATTAATATTGACAAAATGTGCAATGAAAATATGATATTATTTTTTATGATGAATAACAACATCACATTAGTAGAGGACAGATAAAAACAGAATGATAGTATTTTCACTTACTTTTAATTAGTTCCACAGTTATAAGAGTAATGTGTCTTTAAATAAATACTCCCACTGAAGCCTGGAGATATGGTGCCTGGATAAAAAGCACTTCCTCCTCCTCCATAGGGCTCAGGTTAGTTTCCCAACACTGCTGTCTGGAAGCTCACAACTTCTTGTTACCAGTTACAGGAACTGTTGATTTCTTCTGGCTTCTAAAAATGTACTATCTCACGTGTGACACATGCACACTTACACAAGCACATGCAAAGAAATGGAAATAAAAATGAAAAAATATTCATTGAATTTTTTTCCTCCAAAACTTGAGAGCTAATGCATATAAAATAAAACCCTTATTAGACATAAGGTGAACTACAAAAATACTTCAGGTTTTCCCCTATGATTGGCCTTGACTCCTCTTGTTTGTTTGTGTTCTAATATCGATTCAATCTACTGAGCATCAAGATACTTGCAAATATCCTTACAATTGATGAGACTGCAATGAGTAATAAAGCAAATATACTTCCCTTTAAGTCAATCCACACCTTCAAGCAAAATGAATTACTGTAATCAATGTAACAAATTCATAATCAAAAGCAATGGCCAAACATTTTGTCTTGACCCAGAATCATCTCTTGTGTCTATTGAATTACAGTTAAATGGTTCACATTCCAGACACACTAATGAGATGATTACTAGTAACCAATGCACACAACCTGCAAAGGAAAAGTCTGATATCTGGTCTTCTGTGTTCTGAGTTGAGTCTATGAACATTTCCCTACCTATGCCTAATTACGACTCGTAAATTATCACAGACATACCACAATGCTTTCTCATTTATTATTTACTTTCAAATGTAGTCTTAAAATTTCCTTCACTTTTTAGGCATTCCAATGTCTACTCATTGGAATTTAAAGAATTTAAAGAAATAGAGAACATCCTTTCAGATGAGTTGGAGTTAAGATTGGTGAATGCTGCCTACAATCGTCAAGCTCCTAAGTGTCATCATTAAAGCTAAGGCAATCTGCTTTAGAGATCAGTTATACTAGAAGGGTAGAGACCATGGTGATGATTTTCATTTGTCCTAAAGAATCTTCACGTTTTAATGAAATACAGAACAAACACATCATTAAATATAATATCACAAAGAAAAAATATCAAAATAATATAAATAATCAAAGACAGAGCTTTTGTTAAACAAGTTGTAGTTCCTTGATAGGAATTTACAGATGACTTGCAGATAACAGACTACAGACTTAGATAACTAGATATAAGAAGAAAAGAACTCAGAAAGGGCAATGTTGTTTTCTCACAATGAATAGAAAAGTAGCTCTGATAGCAATAATCATTTAGTATGATAATCATTTCACACATTTTACATGTATAAGACATACATATTACATATTGCGTTAATGAGCCACACCATGCATTTATTTTAGGCTACTGATGTTATAAATACTCACAAACCACAACTGAATGAGAAAGCGGGGTGTGCTCCTCTCAGTGGGAAACAGTGTGAGATGATTCGCAGTTCACAACTTGCCTTTCTCCAAACATCGTATTCTGTCTTATATTTCATAACTTATTGCATTATATCGCATAACATATTCATGCATTTGTACTCGACTTAAATTTGGGAATGACTTTATGGAAAAATTTCAGTGTTGAAAAACAAACAAAACAAAACCTATCAGACACATTACTGAGTATTTAAGATCCTAGATCAGATATTACTTGCCATCACTTTGTGTGTGTGCATGTGTGTGTGTGTGTTTATGTTTGCATTTGCTATGTGAACAAGCATGAAATGGTCCTTTATCCTTCAAAGAAATGGTAAATTGGGGCAGTTGAAACTATAAGAATGAGCACATTTCTTGAATAAGAGTTTGTGTCATAACATCAGTCCTGTTCCTGGTTATGTAGAAGATTAATGAAGGCAGCATGACCAATGAATAAAATATTCATTTAGGCTAGGCATATGATACCATATACAGTAATAAACTGATTTGAATAATACTTAATTAGTTACATACTAAAAATAAATTGTGAGTGTTAACCTAAGAAGCACATCATGTGATAAAGTCTACATTAAAACAAAATTGTAGTCATTTTTGGATTTTGAAATGTATTATTTTTTACTATGTATTATTTTACTGTGCATTATGTTCATATAATAAAAACCAAGGCAAGGTTGGATACACAAGAATAAACAATAAAACACACACCTTTTTCTAACTACTGCTTTACTTATTTTCCATATGCAATAAATAATACTTGAAGCTCCATATTTCATATGTCACTCAACTTTCTAATTTCTAGAGAGAATAACCACACTGCCACAATGTGCTTCATTTTATCACAGTATTCTATTTAAGAGCATTATTATAAATCATATTTTTATACTCTCTTGAAATTAACACATTTATGCTTGGAACACCAGAACGTGTGTAGTATTTAACCTGGCTTTGTTAAATACTGTTTTGTAAATTAATACTAATATGTGTACTTACCTTTTATAAGTTTTAATTAGTATCATGTTCCACTACACTGTTGACCACAACAGGAGGGTTGTTTTCTTTAAGTGAAGAGTAATATGTCTCCTTTTATTTATGAATACACATTTAACATAGATCCATACATAAAGGATCATATTAAATTCAAGATCAAATCTTTGCAAAAAGATGAATGAAGGTAAATAGTCTGAGTAAATTTTATATGTTTATTATTTAATTATTTTAGAAAGATCCAAGATATAACAAAATAGCAGCACTGGTTAATTTTGTGAAGAAGCAAGCTATTGTCACCAGGACTAAGCACTGGCTTCTTTTTGCCTCTCTGGTCCTTTTGCCCTCAATCTAATGAATTTGAGTGAGACATACAGAAGATAGGGAATAAGACAGGTAGAGTATTGTGAAGCAGTATAAAGTATTCTCAATGGGTGAGAGTGGAAAATGCTTACAGAAATCATGGCAACCTAAAATTTTAGATAAATGTATATTCAGACTATCTGAAACAGATCTGTGGAAGGTATTGCTATGTCTAAACGATTGACAGATCATTCTGGATTGATTTCCAAAGGAGAAAGGAATGATTTATTGTTAGTTACCAGAATGCATTCTAGATAGAATCATTGTTTTTATTTAAAATACCATGTCTTTCTCCAGCCTAAGAAGTTTGGCTCAGATCCCACTTTTAATCAGTAATCAAAATTCATTTTCTGGTGTTTGAATGTTGAAATTAAAAGTAAGAAGCACACTTTTCAAGCCTGTTAGTTAAGATTAGTGCACATAACTAACATGCTATTGTTACTCACACTCTCTGGCATGTTTCTATTTAAAATATTTCACATTGATTAGAAAGATCCAAGATGCTGCTTTCTATATTCCTATCTTTCCCTCTAGTATTAACAGCCTGCTTAATTGATAGTATTACCTCTCTCCCATGATGCATATGAGAATATACAAAGATAGTTCCAGATGAACACACAGTCAAGGGTTGGGCATACCTCAAATTCCTATTTATCCCTTAATTCTTCAGAAGATGTTAAATTTGTAGGTGATTTCTTGAAAAAATAAATTAAATCAGTATATGGCCAATTATGTTATGCTGGTCCAATATGACTTGTGTCCTTGTTAAAAGAAAAGTTTAGGGAGATACATAAACATGTATGTGAATATACAGATACATATATACATGGAAAAACAGTCACATTAAAGCACAGGGAAGGATCGGTTTCTCCAAGACTCAGAAAAAAAGAAATTTAAAGACATTTGATTTTTTTGTTAACTACAGAACTACAAAAAAATTTGATTATTTTTAAGCCACCAATTTTAGCTATTTTATTTTTAGGAAAACATAGCAAGCTAACACTTTCACCAAATCCACTATAACCACCGCATAAGAAAATATCTGAATGATTTGAGACAGTCATTATAGTAGAGGAATGGCCAATTTCTAGTCATAAGTAAATGGACACTGTTCTTGTGGATAATGTTACCCAAGCAGAATGAGAAATATGTATATGTCAGTATAAACATATATGGGAATGTTAAAAAAGAGGGCCAACAATTGACATGTGCAGTAAAAGGTCTTATTTCTCATAATTTGCTTTGCATACTCTCATCTCTACTCCAGATATAACTGTTAATACCTGCTATCATTTTCAAAATACTTAGTAAGATACCATGGTATATCTCTTACCTTACTGGCAATAATGCTCAGAATCTCACCTAGATGTTGTTCAAGACAAGGTCTCTAAAGACTGGCAAGTCATGATCATCTTTGGTTGAAAGTTCTGATGTTTCCTCCTAGCATGCAAAGAACATTAGTGAGTTGGTCACAGGCTGATTCTGACAGCCTAGTGTTGGTGTCTCAGATACTCAATATACAATAATCTCCACTAGGTCATCTATTTCACTGTGATTCTAACCTCAAGAGAGCAGTACTTAATGACTGAGTGTATAGAGTGTGGAATTCAACATGCATGATTTGGTGACCCCTGAGGATAGAATTTTTTTCTGTTATTATTGGTCACTTCCATGAGGAATATTTTCACAGATTTTAGAGTCCATGTTGCAAGAACTTTTTTTAATTTTATTTTTTATATTTTATGTAGAAAGCTTCAATCTACATTTTTTACATTAATTTTTATTTTTTTTTAAATATCAATCACAGGTAATTTACTTTGTATCCCAGCCATAGCGCCCTCTCTCATTCCCTCCCAATCCGACCCTCCTTCCCTTATCTCCTCCCTGTCCCTTTCCATGTCCACTCCTAGGAGAGGTCCTCCTCCCCTTTCATCTGACCCTAGCTTATCAGGTATTTTCAGGACTGGCTGCAATGTCCTCCTCTGTGGCCTAGCAAGGCTGTTCCTCCCTCGGGAGACGGGGGGAGGTAAAGGAGTCAGTCACTGTGTTCATGTCATAAATAGATCCTG